TCATACTGTTTGCTATACTTTTTGCAACGGTAAGTACGACATTATACCATTCTGAGCAGCAATGCCTAAGAGATTCAGTTTCTACTTGTTTCCTGTCTTACAGGATTGTGGTCTCCCTTGCTTTTTACTTTCCTATAGAAGTTTCCATTAGTGAAAACTAAACTGAACCTAAACTGGCAAGGGATTTATCAGAATGTAGTCTTAACACTTCATTTCCTTTTAGCACAGGTAAGATGTTAAAAGGGTAGAAATGGTGCAGCAAACCAGCAACCGGTAGGTGACACAGAAGGAAACATGCTTAAATTGGTGATGGACCTTTTAAGAAAATCTATACTAACAACCATTCTTCATCCTGAAATCTCTTGAAAGTCAGGGAGAAAATACAGATCCCTATTAACTTAAACAAGAAAGACCTTAAAATATGGTTTTTATAAATATAGTGCAAAGATTGTTGCCAGCAGATGTGAAAACAAAGTGATGATAAATATCACACTGAAGGAAAGGCGTGTAATTCTGGAAACTTAATGTCTGAAATGTGATGTTATATGTGTCTGCCACTGGAGATAATTGATAATTGCTTATTTGATTAATTTAATGAATTATGCTTAATTCACCATGCTTAATGTAATGTTTTCCATATAGAAAAAATAATGAGCTTCTTACCTTGCACCATATACAAATACCAATTTTAGCTGAATTGAAGATGGATTAAGAAAGACAAATTCTTAAAATTCATAGAAAGAGGCTAGCGTTATGCCCTAGTAGGCTAAGCTTCCTGCTGTGGTGCTGGACATGCCTATTGGAGTCTTGGCTGCTCCACTTGCAGTCTAGCCCCATGCTTGTGTCCTGGGAAGGCGGCAGAGGAAGGCTCAAGAATTTGGGCCCATAGACCCAAATAGGTGGGTAGACACAGAGAAAGCTCCTGACTCTTGATCTCAGACTGAATCAGCTCCAGCCATTTCAGCCATTTGGGAAGTGAGCCAGTGGATGGAAGATGGCTCTTTATTTCTCCTCTCTATGATTACACCTTTCAAAAACAACAAAACTCATAGAAGAAAAGAAGGGAAATGTGGCAGGCTGCTGAGTTCAGTGACGATTTCTTTGAAAAAGCACAAACTGTAGGGAAAGATGCTAATAAATTGGAGTCTGCAAAAATGTAAAACATGTATACTGCAAAAGTTACTGTAAAAAACAGAATGGTTGGGATGGGGTGGGATTCCAGCAATAAATATAACAAAGATTTGGGATCTGAAATTCGAGCATAGAAACCCACTTCTAGGTATGTACTAGGAGGAACTGTTGGATATTAGCACAATATAAAATAGAGAAAAATGTTTCCTGACAACTTTCTAAATGTTAGGTATTATAAATAACTAAGCAATAAGTAAGAAAATGAGTAAATGAACTGTGGCTTATTAGTACACTACAACTTTATGCACAGCAGATAAAATAAATACATCACAGGCCTATATAGATTGAAATAATATAAAAACTTTGGTGCTGAAATAAAACAAAGTTCAACCATACACATTGCTAAATGTTATTTTAATATGCAAAGTTCTAAAAACTTAAGGAAGTGATGAACGCCAAATACAAGGTAGTAATTGCCTTTCTTGGGCGAAATTGGATCTGATCAGTAAGGACAATTGGCAATCGTAATGTTTTGTGTATTGCTTGAAACTTAAACACAAACACAATGTCTAATCCAGTGTTTGAACATTCTCATCGCAAATCAGTGTCTGGGTCCGTCTCCTACATTCACTTCAAATCCAAAATCTTGCTAATGTGCACCTAGGAGGAGCAGTTAGTGGCTCAAGTACTTTGCAGTTGGTAAAACATGACACTACACATGGGCTGGCATTTTGTGTGGGCTTGACAACAAACCTCTGCATACTATGCTGTACCTCTGGAAGAAAACTTTCTGTGTTCTTGCACACGTTTTAGTACATGTGGCATCTTCCTGTAGGAAGAAAGACATAAGTGCCCAGTAATGAAGTTGACAAGCCTTCCAAGGAATGAAGACTCATTCGTTCTTTTGATAATGTCTCCTAATTACAAGTTACATGAAGCTTTCCAAATCATCATCAGGAAAAAAAACAATGTTTGGTGTCATTCCATAGCCATTATCCTCAATTTTTAAACAACTAAAACAACGTTTATTTAAATTAGATATTTACAAAAATGAGCTCACCACAACAGGATCCCCAGCTGTTCCCCATGAGCAGAATTTCCTGGGCACATGCTCTGTTCTGGATATTAAAAAGTAGACACAGTATGACTGTGGATGAAAGCTTTCCTTTGATTATGGGATAATCACTAACATTTGCCTGCCTTTGGTTAGGTGTCCTCAGACATGGGTTGTTTATATGATAATTTCCTGCTGTGTCAGACACAGCCAATCCCACTTTGCTAGTGACAGTTAGGTAGTCCATGTCAGTTCTCGTAATTTAGAAAGGAATCTTGTGACGGATACAGCTTGAAGCGGTTTCTTTGTGAAATGAGCATGTCTTTGTGAGATTAACTCCATTCCCATTGCTTACTGAAAGCAGACCTGCCAAAGCCGTTTGGTGACTGGATTGAACTTTTCCTACGGGAATCGTGTAGCCATAAAGCTGTGGAAACGCAATTGCACTCCCCCGTGGTTGGGTTTCTGACAGCTTTTCCCATCAGTTTGAAGAGGACAGAGCCCTGTGTCTGAGACAGAGATGTTTTCACACCTGAAGTGTAATTTCACACCTTGTGTTTCTCGGCAGATAAGTGCATAAAATAACACATCAAACTAGAACAGAAAAAAAAGATCAACATTACAAAGAAAACTGCAGGTTGTAATTTGTTTCCCATCTTATAATGCTCTTGGAGAGAACAGTAAATTACAGAGATCCTCATTTACGGCTTAGAAAGTTTGGTCGTTAGGTAGGGAAGTGAGCAGTAAATACTAATGAGCTTGCTGCCTGCCTTGAACACGATGATCAGGATGACACAATTTGGGCAGCATCCTAGCCATTTGATGTTTCGAGGATTTATCTGAACATTAGTTAGGAGGAAAGGTTGTCATTGAAAGAGAAGGGATTGCTCAACTGAATGACTTCACTGAAAATACAGTTTAGGAAACGATGCTTTGTAACAATCCATTCAGGAGTTTTGCCAGCGTGAACTCTGTTGGGAAAATTTGGATGTTTCCATCCTTTATTTAATATAAACAATATATGATGCTAATCATTATCATATAATATTCAGGTGTTGAAAATGAGAGTTAAGCTTCATTTTACAAATTTAAGAACTTGAGATCAAAAGAAAAACAAAAATTCCTTCACTAGCCATGAACCTGCATTACAGAATACATTTGGTATATGTCTGCATCATAGTAATTTCCAGGCCTGGATTTGGGAGGAGGGCCACTACAGTGGAAAATGAAAAAAAAATTCTCAGTACCATGAGGAACTGGGAGTCTTTGCATCCATTAGACAGTTCATGAAATTGACAGATGATAAGTGCTAAATTGGACCAAAGTTGGTGGGTGTGGGGAAAACATCTCGAAAGATTTCTGGATAAAGTAATATGATGGTAGAAATCAAAATATGAGGACATGAAGAACAAGTGTAAGAGTGAAGGCAAAAGGAGCAGGTGGATAGGCGAGAAGGAAGAATGACACTGCTTGGGACACCTGCAATAATAATTCAAAGAGTCCATGCTCTTACATAGTTGGGAATATTTTGAACATAAGGTGTATGTGGAAGGCCCAAGAAAAGAAATACTGTTTTCAGCTGGATCTTGAGTTTGGGAGTTAGTCTGGACCACAGATACGGGATTATCCATTGCTGAAGCCATTGGAATGGATGAGATGATCCAGACTAGGTAGAGAATGAGAAGAGACTCTTTAACTTAGACATAAAAGTGCTATTTGACTATGGAAAAAGAAACAGGAAACTTTGTGTATTATATTATTATTCAATAAAATGCAGAAGAGTTGTATACATATGCCAATTTTGTATATATGAGGTGACTTGAAAAAGTGTGTAGAAAATAGAATTTGAAGATTTGGGGAGGTGCCTGGCATGATGACCTAGTGAATAAACCCTTGCCTTTCATGCACTGGGATCCCGTAATGGCACCAGTTCATGTCCTGGCTGTTCCACTTAGCTTCCAGCGCCCTGCTTGTTGCCTGGGAAAACAGTAGAGGATTGCCTAAAGCCTTGGGACCCTGCACCCACATAGGAGACCCAGAAGAAGCTCCTGTTCCTGGCTTTGGATAAGTTCAGTCTGGCCATTGCAGCCACTTGGGGAGTGAACCAGCAGATGGAAGATCTTTCTGTCTCTGTTTCTCTGTGTGTGATCAATTTCATAACACACAGTTTCCATGGACTTGTATTAAAAAAAGATTTATTTGGAATGCAGAATTACAGAGAGATGGAAACACACACACAGAGCGCAAGCAAGAGAGAGCGCAAGTAAGAGAGAGGTATGATCCATTGGTTCACTTCCTAAATCTTGGCAACAGCCAGGACTGGTTCAGACCAAAGCTGGGATGCCAAAACTCCGTTTGAGTCTCCCACATGAGTTGCATGTGCCCAAGCTCTTGGGTCATCATCTGCTGCTGTTCCAGGTGCATTAGCAGGGAGCCGATTCAGAGGCAGAGCAACTGGGATTCCAATAGGTACTCCAATATAATATGCTGGCATTTCACATGGCAGTTTAAATTACTGTGCCACAGTGCCAGCCCCAGATGTGCCCTTGTGTACAGTCTGCACAGATAGGAATTCTAGAACAGCAACAATGGGCAGGAAGATGACCTGCATGGTATTTGAGACCTGCAAGCTGCTAACTCCCTCATTTAATCATTCACATACAGTGTGTTAGTTCGACAGAAAGACCAGGCCTAAGGATGCTAATCAGTCTTTTGGAAGGAGGAAGTTGCAGCCTGTATAAAACAGCAGAACAGAAGCAGCAAAGCAGAAAGCACTACTGTTTTTCACACCCCACTTCCCTGTGTTTCGTCTTAGATACCTACGGAAAACTCTTGCTTCTCAATTCCGTGGGTCAAGAGATGTCCCGCTGCAAGACATCCCTTCGCCGTGGTCAGCCCAATCCTGTCTACAAGGAGACCTTTGTTTTCCAGGTGGCCCTCTTTCAGCTCTCTGATGTCACATTGATGGTTTCCATTTATAACAGGCGTAGTATGAAGCGTAAAGAGATGGTTGGCTGGATTGCCCTGGGCCAAAACAGCAGTGGAGAGGAGGAACAAGACCATTGGGAGGAAATGAAGGAAAGCAAAGGCCAGCAGATCTGCAGATGGCACACTTTGCTGGAATCCTAGGTCTGCCAACTGGTGTTTGAGTGCTGTGTCCGCCTCCTTGCTTACTGCTGACACAGAGTCAATGCGACTTGGCAAGGTTTTCAGGCGTTCAAATGGAAATCCTACTCACCCTGAAATATTCTGAGTGGAGGCTTTGGGTTTCTGAAAGGTTTGATTTAGATTTAAGTATTATGATTTGAAACATCCATAGCCAAGAGTCCTCCCGTATGGAAAGTTACTATGGTTGAACCTACTGGTCATGAGTTAACATGTACTGAAAGATTGAGTTTTAGTTCACACTGTGGAATGAAGCTTCTCTTACCATCTGTGTTGCCTGAAATCACAAGAGAGTTAATGAATGTTAGTATTTGTACCCATGTAGGTGTATGGACCAAGATTTTCTTACTGTGATCCAAGTAACTCCAAAATACAAATGAATCAAATGCTGATGGTCACAGCAAAATCCGCTGTCATGTATAACCCCTTAATTTCACATTTTCTCTATCAGAACAAAGGTTTATCTAATAAGCAAATGTTTAGTAATTATACTTATATAATAAAATTTTAACTGATAACTTTTATATCTCGTTCATATACTATGATTTCCATAATATTAGTTTTATCATTTTGAAGCTAGAATGGTGTTCAGAAGTTGGCGTTTTTGAGCAATTTGTCTCCTTTAGAATAAATGCATTTCCAGTTTTTAACTATCAAGTTTTGTATGCTATATTTACCACATATTAAGTTCTTACAGAATGAAAAGAATACCAAAACCAAAACAGAACTATTTAAGTAATGGGTTAACTTATTTTTCTCAATTGAGGGTTCCTTTGGATTATACTTTCTCTATATTTAGTTATATATACTCAGACGTGAATTCTGAATGTCCTCTCAGAGCCATGCGCTTTTAAAATGCACTATTTTCCATTATCAGAGCTTGGTAAGTTGTACGTGATTGTCCTTTATAAATATCTATTTAATGGACTCTTGGAAATAAACATGAGAATACCTGTGAATGAAGAATTACTTTCATCTTATATGGAATGACCCTAAATTTTTAGTTGAAACTTTAAAGTGCCTATGTTCGTCATTGCCTTTGTAGCAACATGCATTACGACTTACATTCTGGTTACATGCCATTGACAATATTGATGTTTTGTGTCTATGGGCATGACATTTTTCGTTAAAATTGACTGTCCTGTATTTATTCAGTACGTGCTTCTTTTTGCTTGTTTTTAGATATGAGCCCTTAATTTCACTTACTTTAATTTGCTGCTAAATCAACAAAGGGGAAGAAGGTGTGTCCATTTTAAATCTGTGTCCACCATGCAACTATTGTGAGCAATGGTTCAGTCACTTATTTTTAGCTTTTATGTATCACTGTTGACTTTCTCCTGTCTGTGGGAAGAGTGATAGCTAGCGATGGATGTATACAGTAAGAAGCACACAGCACCTCCGCAGCTCCACATTTTGACAGATTGTAAGAGTAGGCTGTAACACTGGAGGATCATATTTATCCCTTACTGTGTCTAATGGTTATCCCGACAAGACCAGACGAGGTCACAGGACAACTCTACTATGATTCCAGGGTTCAATATTGCAAAGAAACGATTCCATACAGAAAAGGCAGGATTTGTAAAATAAATTAATATTCTCATTTTAGTCAGGTCCTGAGAGTCTTATGAACATGGCCGTGCAGTCATTCAGATTAAGAAATAAAACCATACGTCCTTGGGTTTTCCCCTACCTTTCTTAGAGAGACCTCGGAGTGCTTTTCCAGCATCGTCTCCATTGACTGCTGAGTGGTCTTTGCAGTTTGACTATGTCATTGAGTAGAACTGAGAGCAATTGATTAAATGGTGGCACAAAGAATTGGCTTTTCACATCCCTACTCTCTGTATGCCTAGTGTTTAAAGGGAAGTAGAGCAGCCTGGTTATGCTTTCCTTTATGCAGTGACGGAATAGCAACATTCACTTTCAAATTTACATTTGAATAAAAATCTGCATATATTGTATGCAATGCCTTTGAGTGTTTCTCCTATTTTCCACGTGGCTGGATTCCTGGCCTCACAGTGCCCAATATTCACCAACACTTCATTCCTGCTTCCTTGACCCACTCATGTTTAAAATTTTCTGCTGGTGTGGTAAAGAGGTCCTCGAGTGCTTGATTTGCTTCCAAAATGCTGCTGCTAATGATGCTGTTTTTAGGAATATGCAGCACTTCAGGACAAAGAAACTCATTTTTTTTCTGTTTTTGTGCAACTCAGTATGTATGTACAACTCAGGACGTATGGTCATCTTTACTGGACAGAAACATAAACATTCACTCACAAGATACATAGGTTAAAATATGAGCTTGCTTTTTTTCTTTCAGATTCTATTTAAGTAAGATCTTTTGATTTTATGCACTTACACTTGTTTTCCTGGCAAATTCTAGCCACAAAATGTATTTTACATGTTTTCCACTTGGTCTTAAATCTCCATTTGCTTTTCAAAAAGAGTTATGAAAGATAACTAGTTGGTTCTGTAGTGAAAAAAAAATAAAGGTGCTTCTGCCTATTTCATTTGGCTAATGATTAGTTTCCCAGAGGGAGATTTGGCATTGAAGCAGCACCAAGTTTTTGTCACATGAGTAGCTCTTTCAATGATTTTTCCTCAAGAGTATACTTCTTAAATAATATTACACAGAGTAAGCGATGCACTAAGTTTATGGAAATCTGCTTTATTGTGTCTTCTTTCGGGTCGTGAGTTTTCACTGAATTGAGAAATGCTAGTGTTACCAATGATGGTGGTGGCTGTTGTGCTTTCTGCTCTCCTCTGACTGTTGTTGAATTTTTGAATGGACCATTCAGGCAGCTGAACACCTGCTCTCCATCTTCTCTCCTCCGCTGCTTCCCAGTGTGATGTGCAATTGTTTAGGACCCTGGTTGGGCTGATGCTGTCTAACAGTAAGAGGCTTTTGCCTTCTCCTACATCTGAAGAAAATGTAATTCTTTTGGATGGATAAGGAATCTTCAACATGTTCATGGAAATATGCATGTTTGGGAAAATTGATGCCTGCGTGTAAAAAGAAATCATGGCAACATTTTTACAATTTAATTCCATTTTTTCATGAACATTTTTTAAGTACCTTCATGTGATACTTTGCAGCCCACCTGGACAGAGTCTGAATGCACCATGTTTGCAAGAGGAAAAGAGTCTGATATTGCCTTGTTGTTCATCTTAGCATGATGGTAGTGAGCTGATCTTAGACTTGGCTTTTCTCCCTAATACTGGTGCCACCGTGAGCTTAGGGCACAGCAACTACCTTCTCATCATGGGGATTTCATGCTGTTTTGTTTCTTTCTTTCTTTTTTTTTTTTTTACTGCTCTCAGCCAATCACTAGGTTTCAAGTCCATGGTGGTCTTATGAAGTTTCTTCTTTCCATGTAAAGCACGATTTACGCAGGAGCTACAACAAGATTAGGTGAGAGCATTTCTCCAAGTGGCCATGAAATGTTATTTTATTGATTATTTCATATGAACATCTAGCCATGGGCTGTCATTTTGCATCAGAGGGCTTAGAAAGATAAGATGTAAGAGATGAATGGGAAAGATTATTTGTAAGTGGTATAAAATCATGTTCCTTTTGGGAAAACAACTCAACCGTACAGTGCATATAGTATCTCTCCTTACTTTTTTCAGGATTTTTTTTTTTGGAAAGGCAGATTTACAGAGAGGAGAGACAGACAGAAAGATCTTGCTTCTACTAGTTAATTCTCCAAGTCTCCATAGCAACCAGAGCTGGGCTGATCTGAAACCAGGGTCAGGAGCTTCTTCCGGGTCTCCCACATGGGTGTAGGATCCCAAGGCTTTGGGCAGCCCTCTATTACTTTCCTAGGCCACAAATATGGAGCTGGATGGAAAGTGGAGCAGCTGGGACATGAACTAGTGCCATTACGGTATCCAGGCATGTACAAGGCAAGGATTTAATTACTGTGCCATAGCACTGGGCCCCCTCCTTGCATTTGAAGAAATTGGTCGAAGAATGATCTGTTTGAGCCAGTGCAAATCAAGAGTAAATGATGCTGAAGTGGAAAAAGTTCTTCTTGTTTGAACAAAAAAGTTGTTTAGACAAAACTCTAAGAAAATGCTAAGAGATTGCAGGATCATATTGCATATATCTGGAAGATAAGAAATGAGTGTGTCAGAAATGTTTTGCATTCATAGGCATGTTTTCAAGAGTAATAGAGTAGAAGATATTGTAGATTAGCTTTTTTTCATAATCTGTAAAAGTCTGGAAACTATTTGAGGATGGGAGAAATGAAACGTGTCTTCTGCAGTGAAGTTGGCCCAACCAAGTGAGTTGGAATAGACCATGGTTTCAGACTGGGTTTTGGTGGAGCGCTACTAATTGTACAACCTTGAGAAAATGATTTAGCCAGCCTATCTGCCAGTCACTTCAACTGGAAAATGAAAATCATGTCTACCTCATAAAGGTTTTTAGTGGATATTACTGAAATTACAGACATTATGTGCCTAGCCTTGAGCTGGATGTATAGTTAATACTCACTATTAACTCTTCACAATTATATTTTAAAAAAATAAAAAAACACTGAGGATGAATTTCTCTTTGCAGAAAAAAAAAAGTGATGATAACAGTACACAGAAAATTACACATAGTTTTCAGATATTTTAAATGTATAGGTTAAAGTTTTCAGAATCAACGAGACAGTTCATTCAGAGATAGCCCTGGAACGTGGAGGAAAGTGTTGCTAGATTGGAATTGAGATAGAACCTTTTACTTTTAGCTCCTTAGTTGGAAGAGGATGCCAAACCTTGGTGTCTGTGTATGTATCTTGATATATCATACATAAGATTGTTCTTCACTCCCAGCTCAACTTTACCATTGACAAATGGACAGGACACTTTGTACCCCTTCAAAAGTGTTGAGAAGAGAGCAACTTGACTACCTATTTCGACTCTCATCTCAAAAGTAAGGCAAATGTTATTACTCTTTGCTGAAATTTTTTTTGTAATGC